GCGCAAAATACACAAGTAATACTATTATACACAATGTCATAGAGCTTTGGTGACTTTGATAACCTATGAATTATTTTGATTAATAATTCATAGGTTTCCTTTAGATTAATGCGCATAATTAGTCTATTAGTATAAAAAAAATTATTCTGCAGAATTTGAGACATATTTGATGCAAATATCATTTGTTTTGTATAAAAATGTTATAGGTTGCGACTGTTGTAAGAAAAAATTCAGAGAAAGGAAAAGAAGTACAACCAGCAGCTGCGGCAGATACAGGTTAGAATGGGCTTGTAAAAGACATTTAAAAGAATTGTTGTACAATGTTATCAAATTGATTTAATATTATTTTTTATACATTTATTGCCTAATATTTAAAAAAAACTGTTAAAAATAATTCCATTATTTATTCTTTTAGAAAAAAAAGACAAGGTTCCGAAACCAGAGAATGTTAAAGTGACCGCCACTAACAAGTCCTTGCAGCTATTGGAAAAGGAATTGCAAGAATTGAAACGGGTAACATTTCACTTTTATATTATCCAATAAATACCAAAAAAATATTATGCTAATAAATTATATTTTGCAGACAAATAATACAAGAAATGAAACCAAACCGGCAATGAAATTATTAGACTCGGCGCGCGGCAAACGCCCCGTAATTCACACATCAACGCCCAAATTCAGGTAAACTTTCATACCTTTTTTTGTTTCATCACATTCCAAATCAAATGCTACCACCCCTACCACTGCTGCTTCACACTTGTACCAGAGTACTTCATATAGCTTTTTTGTAAAAAAAACATACCATTCCTTAGTTCTTAATATAATGCAAATTTATGGATGGATTGATCATTATTACTAAAACTAGATCGACTGTATGGATGTGGATGAAATTTGGAACTGAAGTAATGGTCTAGAATATGCATAGGCTAAATTTTATCCAAGAAAAGTGGATTTTTTTAAATATGGTTTTTAATATAATTTATCAACCATGTAAATACTTTTTTTATAAATTATGCATTAATATGTTTCAGGCCGTCAGAAGATAGGAGAGTATCGGCGATTATAAAAATGCCGTCAACAGAGAAAAAAATACCGGAACGTCGCGTCATCACCAAAGAGAACAAGGAGCCCAAAGAGAAAGAGACGAAGGAGGTGAAGGAGGTCAAAGAAGTCAAAGAAATCAAAGTTGTTAACACCAGCACCAAAGAGGAGACTGACACCACAACTACACCAAAGGTATAATGCCATACAAACATTGTATTGGCTTGTAATTTCGCACAATACAAGGCTACATAAAGTTTGAATCTAGTTATATTATTTTCAGTCTTTAATATGTATTGTATTAGAATTATAATACACAAAGGAACTTCTTATTGATTATTTAATTACTCTGGCAAATGCGTGTTAGTTAAGCAAAAAAAATACGGAGCTGTCGGCTATAAATTTCATTTACAACTTTAATACTTAACTATGTCAATATGAATATATTTTCTTATTTATTATTACGATTTAATTACAGAGTGTTATCAAAAATGGAAACAATGAAAAATCTCAGACTGAAGACGGAGTGGTACGTCGATCGACCAGACCGTCCAAAATTAAGGACTATGCTAAAATGATACGTGACAGGTATAGTTTTATTAGTAACAAAATTTGCATAACAAATATATTTATATAACGAATATAGTGAAAACAATTTTTTAAAACTACAAATTGTGTGTACTTATGTCACTTAGGTCACTTGATGATGATGAAGATGATACTGAAGAATCGGATATTGAAGAGGAGTACAGAGATAAGACTCCTGAGGTGAGTTCTACTCGCACAACATCTGTTGTCGACCACATTATAAGACTTTACCAGCTATTTCAAATGATACTATTGGCTAAGATATTCTCTAAATCTATCTGACAAACATAAGATTTAAGCTTAAATCACGAATTTCAGATTGCGTTTTCCTTTGTGACTAAACAACTGAATGGATTTTGACTGTTGAGGTATAATTTGCTTTGTTTACTTCCCTTTCATGTTATAGGGGTACATTCGGCAGGAGTTTTCTGGTTTATTAATTTAAAAATAACCTTATTTAATTACTTCATTTTCAGAGGACGCCAAAACGCAAAACTGTTGTGAAAGGTCCGGCCAAAATGATACAAACGACCATAACGACTACACCACAAGGCAAAGTTGTGCAGACAACCATGCAGGCCGGGCCCACTGCCACACCAACCATGGTTGCGACCATGCCCAGAAAACGCGGACGACCACGCAAGGATGCGCAAATAATGTATGTATACCGCAAGAAACTCATATGTCCCAATGGTCATAAGTGAAACTTAAGAACACAGGCATCCCCTATCTATATCAATGTGAAACTATTGCAAAATGAGGTAACATGGTTGTCTATGTTTTAGGGTTTTGATTTAAATCCGACATAAGCCTTGTAGCTTTGATATATTTTCTGACTGACTTTACTAGGTTTTTAGTTACTTCCTTATATTTCCTAAACATTAAAATAATATATTCAAAATTGCAGACCAGCAAAAGTGAAAAAGGATGAGGAAAATAACACATCGAAAGCGGTATCAGACGAATCGGTGGCGAAAGAAACACCAGCTGCAGACGAAAAATCCATCGCAGAGACTAAAAACAATAATGTTAAGGAAAATACTAATGTAAGTACCCACCTTTGTGCCCACCTATTTTGTATCCATTAAATTTCTTAGCTTAACTTTTTAATGTAAACTTATGTTCTTGGATTTTAATAAGTTATTTTTTATTTTTTTTAATAAATTATTAAGTAAGAGTAACAAAAGATTTTTTCCAAAACTCAGAAATCATTAAAAAAAAAATCTAACTTAGATTGTATTCGATTTTTTTATTTGTAGACTAGTAGTAATTTTTAATAATTATATATTTTCTTACAGACTGAAACAAAGACACAAACCACAACGGAGCATCCTCAAATTCCTCCTAATTTATTAGTATACCCAATGGGACAGACATTGAAAAAGGTAATTTTTATTCAATTCCTATATTTAAAATATTAAAATGAAAAATAAGTTATTTGAGTTGGAAGTAACTTTTATTATTTTCCAGGTGCCGGTGAAATCCTTGCCGCCGGGTGTCAAGCCGATTCCGTTACCCGCGAATGCTAGACGTAAATATTTTTATTACAAATACCAAAAACCATAGAAACTTAAGTTGATATCGGTTATAACGACCAAGAGCATGGCTGAACCAGAAATAACCAACCTTATATAAAATACCATTTACTATATATCAATTTTTGTAAGAATACAAACGTAGCCTTTAATTTTCTAATCGATTATTTTTGTTCTGTAATAGTATTTTGATTTTATAATTTTAGCATTGGCGGCCAGAGAACTATGCGAAATGCAAATCGGCAAAAAAATGGTAAAAGTACAGAAAATTGTTATGACCAAAGCTGAAGTTGAGGCAATGGCGAAGAAAGGACTCGTGGAAATGAAGGTACGAAAATAAATATATACCGTATAACCTAATTTTAATTTATGTTAAGAAATACTTGTATGAAATTACTAGCGGGGCCGCCTGCGAATCCGTCAGCGCGGAATAAAAAAAATAATAATAAGTAGCCTATGTGTTCTAGACTATGTTCTATATGTATGCAAAATTTCATCGAGATCTGTTGAGCCGTTGAAAATAACTTACTGAAAATACCTTGTAACACCCATCCATTCATCTAAACATTCGCCTTTATAATATTAGTAAGATAGTAAGATTTTATTTAATTCTTTTTTTAGGACGGCACAATGGTTCTGAAGCAAGGCATCAAACTGCCTACGGCTTCCGACCCCGCCATCATCAAATCTACACTAGTTGGTGAGAAAGGTATTCTAACGCTTGCGCTTAACAATAACATACTAAAACCATATTTAACCTTAAAAATTATATATAGCTATTAAATATGCTGTAGCTTAAATCTTTTACTGTAATTTATACAGGTGTTCTATCAGTGGAAACCGACGTTTAGAAATTATTAATACTCTTACATTTCAGATGCCATTAAAGAATCTCCTGCGAAAAAAGAAAAGTCAACGCCGAGCAGATGCGATCTGAGCGACGAAGCTTAAAAACAATACATTTATGTATTACATTATATACAAATATATATCCCCTCATAGAGAAAACATTGCATGTAATTATTGATATATCTATAAGATAGTCGTAAACTTCTTTTTTTAAGTAAAAAGTAGCTGTTAGTTCATAATTTTATATGATTTTTTTTCGTCTCCTAGGTAGGTATAGAATGAAATCTAGTTGTAATGATTTAATTTTATAAACTAAAACGACAAGAAACTGTAAAATATTTACAAACTATGCAATTTTGTGAGAATCATGTTATTCTAAATTAAATAAAACAGTACATAGAAGACTCGTGTTTTAATTGAACCTTGAATTAATTTTCAAAGATTTTATTTGAGCTTTTTCTTTGTCCTTTTCAGGAAACATCCAATCGTCTCATTAATAATGGTTGACAACATCTGCATTTTAACTAATTTGTGAACCCGCAGCGTATGGTAATTCGCGGCAACAGTATATTTAGGTCGCACTAAGTTTCTCGTCGTACTTTAATTCTAAAATAGATACTTGAATTTTATTGAGTCTATTTTTTTCGGTATTTAACATTAAAAACTTCCTTTTAAATGCTGCAACTTAACATAATAATTTCTGTACTGAGGCAGTGAATTACTTAAATTCTCCAAAAAATGAATCTTCTGAATGATCTTAGAAAATCGGTTAAAACGATGATTATTGAAATTTGATTTATGATGACCAACGTGTGGACTATAATATGCAAAGTACAAATTAAATGTGCTCACTATCTGATGATAGATGGCGCAGAAATAAATAAAAATAAGGGCTTACCCGAATCTTCAATAGATGTCGCTGCAACGCCCAAAACCGGAAATCAATCTTACTACAGGGCGGACAGTTCAAAATCTAGAATTCAAACAATATCACTGACAAAAACGCGCGACATCAACCGCAGTGGCCGCACTCGCGGAATTATTATAATAACGAGAACTAACTTATTTTTTTTAATATTTTGCTACTATAAAAGTTCAGTAGTAGTGTAAATATTGTGCAGATATTTTACATAACGATTTAAATCACGTCGAGCTAAAGTTTAGGAGTGATTTTGAAGTTTTCGTAAAGGGTAAGTCTTGAAAAGCCCATTGAATTTTACGCAATTTTCCAATTCATAAATGAATTCTTCACTTATAATATAAATTTGAAATTGTTGCAAAAATTATTGCATTGAATTTCATTTAAGTATTTTCTTTTTACATGTAATCCGGACAAATAAATCACACCACCAAAACCACACAAATCTATTATACCGAATATTTTAGATATTAGTCGTATTTGTTTATTGCTTTATTGCGATTGCATTACAATGGGGTCATGGAGATGTTTTGTTTTCTATTTGATAAATTGGATTAGATAAGATAAAACATTTTCGTTTATTGATTCTCATTTTCTATTAAATAAATTAAGTGGGTGATAGTAAAACAGCTAATACAAAAGTCAAAAGAGAATCTATTAAATAGAAAACATTTTTTTTTCTCGTAAAAGTAAATTTAACATTACTATTATATCATTTATAAACTATTACTAATAAACTATTAATATTTTAATTAAAAAGATTACTTAATCATTAGTAATTCAAGAAATTCAATCAGTTTTACCGCAAATATGTAAGATAACACGAACAATATAATAATAAAAAATTCATAAATCGTTCATGGCATTGAAACCTGAAAATTACCAAGTCATTTTTTACTCGTATACACATACAAAATAAACAAATTATTGCTTATTGTGTATTGTCACATCATTTTCACACACTCTTGATAAAAACTTGTCTCAGAATATGCTAAGTGACAAATTGACGGAAATTTCGGATAAGGCAATCTATGTTAGGGTGGGCACTTTTAGGAAGTTTGATTTTATATTCACTGATAAATTTTATAGCGTATGTGATATAAAATTATTAATGATTAACATCAAAAAATATGTGCATCATTTATTACGGACTAGCAGTCGCCAGCGACTCCGTCGGCGCGGAATTAAGAAAAAATAATAAGTAACCTATGTGTTTTTCCAGAGTTGATGTTCTATATGTATGCCAAATTTCATCGATATCCGTTCATCCGTTCTGCAGACACCTTCACACATCCATCCATCCAAACATTCGCATTTATAATATTAGTAAGAAGTAAGATTTGATATTGGATAAAACAAGTCCTTTTTGGTAATTGTGGAAAAGTAGCAATGCATAATATACTACTTTGGTGCTTTGCTTGGGGTTAGTTATGACCATAAGTATAGTTATTAAAAAAAGTTGAAGTATAACTTTCAAATTGTTAACTCAGATTAACATAATTGCTCAAAATTAAAAACAAAAGTAACCTAAAAAAATTACCAATTTATTACCAAAAAATATTAAAGTTCTTTTCATAACGTATTCGGCGTTTGATTAAGATTATTCATGTAAAGATATTGAAGGTATTGAATCCATCATAAATCAGCGGTTTAACGTTGATCGGCTATCATCAATGAACATGGATTATTGTCGCAACAAATTGTATTTTTATCGCTCGTCAGTATTACAAACACCTGTAACTGCTTTGATGATCTGATCGCAAACAATGCATATCATACATTGTTACTTAAAGGTGTATTCAAACCATATGACCATATTACTAAATACATTAACCGTGACGTTGGAAAATACTAGAATAATCTTACTAATATTATAAATGTAAATGTTTGGATGGATGTTTGTTTGAAGGTATCTCCAGAACGGCTGAACAGATCTCGATGAAATTTGGCATAAATATAGATCATAGACTGGAAGAACACATAGGCTACTTATAATATCTTTTTAATTCCGCGCGGACGGAGCCGCAGCTACAGCTAATTTTTTATAACACAACAGCCTATTTTGTTAGTATCTTATTTGATCGGTAAATTTATGTTGTATTTTACACAAACTATAAATACATAGCCCTAAATATTTTACTAATAAATAAAATAAAAACTAAAATACACGACCTCAACTAATCCTACAAAATCAACTAGTTTTTAAACGATCTCAATACGCGGTAAAATTGTAACATGAAGGCGTTTAAAAATAACTTCTGTTTTCCAAGTGTAATCTTTTCATAACAAGAAATAAATAGGAAAATCCTTGTAACAATATCTCAATGAAATAATGGCCCAGTTTTTCTTGATAGTGACAACCCTGTCGACATAGCGTGAAATCTCAACGAGTGAACAATGATAGCAATTGAATAACGCATTCGTCCGTCCTCTGTACAGCCGTAACGAATCTAACCTGTTCACGAAGACAACCACTTTACATACTCCAACTAGATAAGTAATAGAACTAAGTATTTGAGATCATAGATTTGTTGGAACAGTATAATCTATATATATATAAAAGAAAGTCGTGTTAGTTACACTATTTATAACTCAAGAACGGCTTTATCGATATGGTTAAAAATTGATAAGGAGGTAGCTTAGAACCAGGAGAGGGACATAGCATACTATTTTTTTTTTCGAATTTTATATAACTAACTAATATTATAAATGCGAATGTTTGGATGGATGGGTGGGCTACACTAATAAAGTTTTCTTAAAAGTACGGAGTCGCGGGCGACAGCTAGTAACTAAATACGAACCTTTATTTAATTTCCAATATAAATTCTGGCAAAATTCGTTATCCCATATATTAAACTATCGCTATAACTACATACTATCTATTCGGGACTACATCTCGTTAACTTCCCGCGATATTCTCTTCTCTTTTACGTCTATTTTTTTTAAGGCAAAATTTAAGGTCAGTATGCCACGTCTTTGGTATAATGTTAATTCTGCTCTCAACACTTAATGCTTTTCCAAAAAAAAATTAAAAAAAATTGCCTTAACCAATTATAAACACACACACCCAATGGAGTGATTCTTTTAAAATGTTCTCTCATCTAACAATTGAAAATTATTGATTAGTTTAGGACGATTTTATGCCAACATTGGACATACATTTTATGTAGATGGTTTAAAAAGTATCCAGTAAGTTGATATTGCTTCTCGCAAATATAACAAAAACGTTTGCACGAGCGAGCAAATATTTAACATGTTATCATCGCAGATAAGTTTGCAACGATTACAGCTACTGTCGTACTACCGGCCTCAGTAAATAGAAAAAATGGGACACGATATGACCTTGTTTATACTTTCTATTTCATACGGGATTTTATTTATTTTATAAAGTAAATTAATCGATGCTATAAATAAACATTTTGATGTATGCAAACGAAGTTCTTCTATTTATGTTATACATTTAATGTTAATAGAAACAGGATGTAGCTAATATTTTTATATATTTTAACATCGTAAATATTACGATAATGAATGGTACAAGATTTTCCATAGGATAATGATAACATATAGTAGGTTTTATTTTTAATGAAGTATTTGAGATCATAGGTTTGCTTGATCAGAATAAATACTAAGTTTTATCATATAAACAAGAACCAGCTATTGACGTTAAAAAATATTCTTAATAATGTTGAGGGGATGAAAAGATCTTTGGCACTTTAAGCCAACTTAAATAAATCCATTGTACTAAAATAACAAATGAAATATAATTAGCTAAAAAGCGCAGCGTATAGATTAATATAATTAGCTAAAAAGCGCAGCGTATAGATTAATATAATTAGCTAAAAAGCGCAGCGTATAGATTATTCTGTCAGGCATTAATTAACGTTAATAAATAGCGCGGTAGGGCGCGCCGGTCGACTGCCGTAAAAAGATGTATGAAAACGCGGACCGGACGTCCGGCACCGTACCGTAAGCTTTTCCATCGCTTCGCGGCCTTGATGCTAACTGCCTGCTTTGAAAAATAATTTGAAATTCAAATAAGTTATTTTGGATTACTACCTTTGGCTCTATAATTATAAAAAACTATGCGATCGGTCTTCATTTCCATTTTAAAAGCAAACAGTACAAAATTGTCCGGAAGAGTTGATAATAGTAGGGAAGTTTTTAAAGAATAGAATTGAGTATTGTCTAATCAATCAAACTGAATAATAAGTCTTTTGATTCCTATTCTTACCCAGAGTATAACTTAGTCACAGTCAGTCCTCTTGTGCTTTTTTTTGAAACTATTGCATACATGTAGAAATAACCAGCCTGTACTTTTATTTTATGAATTTACCTTAATATGTTTATCGCGATGAGGACATGAGGTGATAAGTTATCTTTGTCACTGAGCTTATTAAGCTCAAAACGTGCCGAAAAGTTTTACGACGTTTTATTACATTGCCGGTGTCTGTAAGAACAATAATTTTGAATTGCGATTGATTACTGGCCATTGATGATCATATTTTTTGTGTTAAACCCCTATTTGTAAATAATATGATAGCTTGATTCGGCGATCTTTGTGGTATTGAATAGGTTATTAAGAAATTATATGATAGTCTGAGGATAATCTGTGCAATTAGTGCAGCTGTCCGACAATCTGCGGAAATGACTGTCAACAATTATCTACTAGCTTCTAGTTACAACAAACGTACGGACGTAGAGTGGGATCGCTTCATACTAATATTCACCAGTATAGACAAATTGATTAACCTTATTCTTTTTGAAGTCGGTTAAAAATACAGCATCGAGGTATATAGTTGATTGGTTATCAAGTTATTTCTTTAAATTATTTGATTTAATTCCTAATATAAATTTTGTCTGAAATTGTATAAATCATTCGCCCTCAATTCTAATACCTAAGAATTTAATCCCGAAATTAGTGTATTTTCAAAATTAATAAATTTAAAGAAAAAGCATTTTTGGCTTAAACAACAATGGATTTTAAACTAATTAGTTTTACTGCAAGATCTCGAGAAAGATGACAAAAGCTAAAATCCTCGAATATTTTTTTATTGGGAAGAATTAATAGGTATCATTGTAGGTTAGTTGCGTGAAATTCAGCGAGCGATGTCTCTGGCACGGCTTGGCACGGAGCCCTGTCTGTTCCTGCGGCACGCACATCTCACTTCCTAAACAGTTATTACTTATTATTACATTCAAAATAACAATAATAGCAGCTTTAATAATTTCACGTCAAACGACAAAGTATAAAATAATTGCATTTACCTT